CAGGTGCCTTACTAGTAGTAACAAGAAGCTTCTAGGAACAAGTGCCATGCTAGTAGTAACAAGTGCCATTCGAAGGATGCCCCGCCTTTGCTGATGACTTGCCGAGATGCAGCCACAGCCACATCCCGTTTGAAGCAAGGAACCAGCCATTCTTGTTCAACATGTGAAAGTCCTTTAGTGCAAACCCCATTCAACGCCATATTGAAACTTCCTCTATTGTAAACAACGTAAATACTTCTAGAACTACTACTACTACTACTACTACTCCTACTACTCTTACTGCTACTGCTACTGCTACTGCTACTGCTGCTGCTACTGCTACTGCTACTGCTACCACTTCTACTGCAAAATAGTATTATTCTTCGTCTTCGTCTTTGTCTTCTTCTTCGTCTTTGTCTTTTGTTCTTATTATTGTTATTCCTCCTCTTCTTCTCCTTCTTCTTCTTTGTCTTCTTCATTGAACAACTACTACCCGTATATCTTGTGTTGCTAGTGTCCAACTCCTAATCCTATGCAAGTCTCATCCTCGACACTCTGGTGCATAATATATACTCCAAAGCAAAAACAAAGGGCTCCTCACAAATCACCACTACACTACCTTTGGTAAACAAAGTTTGATATCATTGAAGCTGCCGCTTCGGTGGTTCTTCCAGAATGACTGATACCATCGGCGCCTCACACTGAGAGTCGATTTTGCGTCCTACGTAACTGTTCTTCAGCCTTCTGAAGTGCGAGGTCATCACTGCGGCCAGCCTGGGAAGGGAGCTGAGACGGCTTGTGTGGATGTGACGGTGGCGAACATGGGACGGTCAAAACAGTCGGCGATCCTCTTCAGGGGCGCCATCAGTTTGGTCCTCGAAAAGCAGATTCTGAAGAAGGAGAAACGGTTATAAAAGATGTGGTTCAGGTGGAACGGACGTCCGTTTGGGGAAGCGACGTCCGTTTGGGCACGGCTGAGGGGCTGCACCCGACGATCTTTGGATCGAACCCCTTTGAGTTTTTCTTTGGCCAGAGACCGTCCGCACATCTGAAACAGTGGCTGTAGATTTTTTCAGTTCTACAAGAAGAGTGAAGTTCATAGACTCTTTTTCAGCTCATTGAAGACTTCAATATACTTTTGGAGACACATGAATAGTCGAATAGATCCCAGCTAAGTGGATTGAATGCAGAACTTCAAGACTCAAAAACGTATATCATATATCGTTCCTAAATTACTCACATGGCTCGGCTGTTCACAGGTGGTCTAGTACAGTACCTTTAAAAAAAAAAGGCAACGATTCCACAGCCCATCCACCCTTCTTCACCTCTCTTCGTCCAGGCGTCCGGCATCAGAAGAGGGAACCGGGCCGCAGGGACGAAAAAACGCGGCGGCGTCCCACTCCCACCAGGGTGGGGTAGTGAAGCAGCGAGTGAAAGCGAGCGCCCCCCATGTTGGAAGCACCCAATGTCACCATCGTCTCGTTCTTGGGACGTTGGTGACTCGATAAGAGCGACCGAAAGTCCAAAAGCCGGTGACTCGATTGGGAGAGTCATCTATTTGGGAGAGTCTCGTTCTTGGCTCATTGGCTCATGGATCGGAAGAAAAAGACACCCTTCTGTGCCAATGAGCTGAGGGAAATCCACCCTCATTAAAGACCCTCATTACAGACCCACCCTCATTAAAGACCCTTCTCCACCCTCATGCAAGACCCTCATCGCCTCGCCTCCCTTCGCTCGTCCACGAAGTGGGACACCGCCTGGGCAAACATGTCCCGCTCCTGGCGGTAGGGTTTGAACGAAGCGATCACGGCATCTTGGAGGCGTCAGGTGTGAGGGAGAGCTCTTGGGACTGGGTTTTGAGGTGAAGAACTATACTCCAGGAGTCACAAGGTGAGGGGTGCCGAACGAACGGAGGTAGTCGGGGTGCCCAGCTACTCCACAGCCCCTGGCTGGGACCAAACACCACCCAACTCCATGTGACCCCTGGAAGATACTCTGGTCTCCAACCCAGCGTTCCTTTTCGCTTGTCTTCGTACAAATGTTCAGACCAGCTGTGGAGGGGGAGTTGAAGGTGTTCTTCTGCGAAGAAAACGCTGTGATGAATTGGTTAACACGTCTGAATGGTGTTAACACGTCTCCAACGACTCGACCCATCAAAAGAACCATCCAAACACGGGGGGCGCGGGCGCGGCAAGCGCCGAGTCTCGCCGAGTCTCGACCCGTCTCCAGGCGGAAATCGCACCACACGAAACCATTTCTGATGGGTGCGACGAAAGTCAATACCAGGGGTCACATGGAGTTGGGTGGTGTGGCTCGTCCTTAAGTGAGTGGAGTAGCTGGGCACCCCGACTACCTCCGTTCGTTCGGCACCCCGACTTGTGACTCCTGGTAGAGATTCCTTTTTGATCCAGAGACCCTCATTCCCTACTAAGCACTGAGATCGTTTTGAGGAAATCCCATCGATACACCTGAAAGTTGCTTCCTCGTGGCAGGACGAAATCAAGTTTGCTGAAACAAAGGGGGCCGGTCGCTCGGTCACGTGTGCACTCGAAAAAAGCAGGCCTGGCTGACTGTGAGTATTGGTCAGTATATGATTAGATGTTATTGTACAATGATGTACAATGATACAACCTTTTGATATTAATCCTGTGGCCGGACATTAAAGGTGGCCTACTGGGGAATGTGTACAGCCTTTTAGGATCTTTTAGGTCCCTTAGTGTTTTGCCCACAAGCACAACTGCAATCGTGATTTTGCTAGCTGTTGCTTCTATTGTCTTCGCCTGAAAATTTGCGACGGAGGTCGCATTGATAGCTGGGAGCTCCAACTCCCAGATGCGGTTGGTGAATCCATTAAATGTTGGCAGTGTCATGTGCACCGAACTCACACCACATCTTGCATATCAGGCTTCGGTCAAATGACTCAGATTGCTGAGCTGACAAATCTTGCTAAGGGAGACTTTGAAGCCTGAAAAAATGGAGCAGAATCGCAACGACTTGGTTGCATGACAAGAACTGCAAAAGCCACACCTCGAGAATTTCCTAGATTGTTCGAAGCTGTAGAAACCCCATGAACTCACTTAGCCAATCACATGCATCGCGGAGCCTTTGGCATTTTGGAGGAGCAAACCAAAGAAACTCACCTGTGTCTTATACAATTAAAAGGTTTCTTGACGAGTTGATGTGTCTCTGCTAGCCTGTCCTAGTGAACAACACGCTGTTACGAACAGCGGGATCCAGGTCAATCTCTGAAAAGGCCGGGACGAACATTAATCAATCTAATCCTTGTCCAAACGAATGCTCTCGGGCAGCCCTAAAGGGGCCGCCCTGGCAAAGATTCTGTTGGCTTCCGTGCAGCCCAAGGAAAAGTCTGTCGAAATCGATCTTGGCTCCACCAAAATCAAGGGACAACTCGTTTGGGTCTTCAAGATCCAGGTCCAAACGTTTGCTGACTCATGTGGGGGATTTGTTCAACTGGTGGATGCCACGCTCAGCCGGTGTTCTGCATGCCGGCCGCAATACCTGGCTTTCTGAAGGAGCAGTTTGAGAAACAACAGTTTGAGCGTCGATACCGTCGAGTTGTCTTTGGCTGGAAAAAGATGTCTGTCCAAAACAGTACTTTGGGAGACAGATGTTCACTGGATGTTTCTTGTTACAAAACAGTTGAGACCATGCGTCAATGCGTCAAGGCCAACCATCTTAGGGTGCTCTTGTCCAAGGGTTTCAAATCAAAAAGGCCTTCAGAAAGCCTTCCAAAGCCGAAACGGCAGCGATGCGACTTTGACTCATCAGAATCCCTTTTCGCACCTTGGATGCTGATGATCATCGCATCCCTCAACTCTGGTTCGACCTCACCCTCTTCTCCACGAAGCCTCGACCCGAGAGCGAACGAGTGAAGACCCGCTTCGAAACCCGCTTCGACCCGCGCCCGGCGAACGAAAAGGTCGAGGCTTCGCCACGGACCGTCGAAAAAGGAGCACGGACGTCGAAACGAGGAACATCCGCCCACGTTTTTTGGGAACTCTTGTGACCAAGCCATCAATGTTTTTATGGGTCACCGCCACCTAACCCTCCCTCTCTCTCTCTCTCTCTCTCCCTCTCTCCCTCTCTCCCTCTCTCCCTCTCTCCCCCCCTCTCTCTCTCTCTCTCTCTCTCTCTCTCTTCCACCTGTGAGGATCATCCATGATATGACTGAAAAATGATCCTGCTTACCAAGTCGAAGAATTCTAGACTCCTACTTATATACATGAGAACTTGATGTGGGAACTTGGGAACAAAGGTTTTTGAGTAACAAAGCCCGATTTTTGGGAGGGAATAAGTGGAAGACACCGATGCGTCAATTCACAAAACCACCTGCAGCCGCGAAGCCGATAAACGTTGGCCGCCAAGCTAGCAGCCATTGGTTAAGCTATGTTAAGCTAGGTGATGCCAGGTGATCATATTACAGTGGTTTCAGAGTATCTAGATCGCACAAGGGCCCCCAAGTAGGGTGCTTTAGTCGTGACCCCAATCTGTCTAATACCTCTTGGGGTGGCCATTTCTCACCTCTGAATGCATTGTAGGACTGTAGGTGTGTTTCCTTCCCAAAACCAGAGAGGCTTGGCCGTCTCCACCGAGTCCGTCGGGGGGAAATAGCGCGCCTCTTCAGCACCTCTGCTTGGATCGCGTGCGTGGTGTCCAAGTAGGGCTTGCGCATGTTGATGGCCTGGCAGGATGCTGTGTTGAAATGTCCTAAACTCAAAGGGATGAGCATGCACTCAGCCCCAATGCGGATTATCCATGTCTGATCTCGGAAACACATGGAAACAGCGGGTATGGCAAAGCAACAATGGGTTCAATCCCCGTGGCTTTGCTGTGGAATTCTGTGTCGCAGCCAAACCTGTGGGGCCGGTCATGGTGTGGGGGAGCTTGGAACTCCCACAGTCACAGACTCCACTGAGGCCGGACTTCACGCGTCCAAAAGTGGAACAACATCTGACTCATTCTCTTGGGGTGGGCCATGATTGATGTCCAGACAATCGACAGGCCACATGTGTGTGTGTGTGTGTTATTGTTATTATTATCACTAATAACGAATTAAATATTATGTTATTATATATTTATATGTTACTTGTATAGTAATCGTGTGTGACAATCCAAAAAAGAACATATATAGGAAACTGGTCATACTTTTGGATTGGTTTATTCTATCTAGTTCAGGATGGTTGTTTATATGCAGCACAAAGCAATTTGCCAACTTGTGTGAGCAAAAAGTCCCTGATTCAATCTATCTGTTGTTGAGAAATGTGACGCTTGCGTTGAGGGCTCGAGCTGTCAAAACGAGCATGTGTGTGCTTGAAAGTGTCAGAACCAATCCCCTGAGTAGCACTCGAAGGTTTCTAAGAGTTCATATCATCCCCGATTCATCCAGACATCGTTCGACTCATCGTTCTTCTTCATTCGCGCTTCCTCCTCTCGACTCTCACCACGGCTCCAACTCCTCCGGTCAACACGTTGGGTGACGGGTCGTTGAACAGCGATGGCTTCCGGTGGCTCCACTCCGAAGCCCGTCACTCCGAAGGCCCCCCGATGCCCGTCTCGGGGGGGTCCGGCCATCTTCAGGTTGGGCTCAGAGGAGAGGAGGCTCGTGGCACCCTTGACCTCAAGCTCGCGCTGGCCGAGACATGGGGGGGGCTGGGGGACGGGATCCGAAAAGGGCGCCCCCTAAGCTCCAAGGGGAGTGAAAATAGGCGACTCCAAAATACACATTCCAGGGGTCACATGGAATTGGGTGGTGTGGCTCGTCCCAGCCAGGGGCTGTGGAGTAGCTGGGCACCCCGACTACCTCCGTTCGTTCGGCACCCCTCACCTTGTGACTCCTGGTATATATTGGTATATGTGTTTATTTTCATATGGACAAAGCTCTGCTTCTGTCCTTTCCGAAAAATCGTCTGCTTTTGGGCCTGCCTTGTTGCGGTCCGCGAGGACTGGATCCGGAGAAAGATCTGGTCTGGATCCAGTCCACGTGTGGCTGTTCGTTCGAACCGAAGGATCGTTCTCAGTAACATGACTCATGACAGCTCTGTCATGAGGGGCCCTGAGCTCTGCAAATCGACAGGATCCGACAGCTCTGTGGCTTAGCTCTGTGTATCTGGTAACGAGCTCGTGGCTTCGTCTGGGCGGTCGGTGTTCACAGGGAGACGGGTCGGTGTTCGGTGCCCTCACAAAGCTCCGGAAGAGACACGATAAAATAAAACAGGAAAAGTCGGAAAAATGTATTCTACTCTGGGTATTTCCCATTACCATCAACAGTGGATGATGATGGTTCGTAGAGGCCTTTCTCTGTTTACCAACTGTTACTGGTAATAGGCCAGACATGGACTGACCCAAAGTATAATCCCAATATGGACTATCTACCTCGGCTTCCCAGTCGAAGCACGGTTTTGCATGCAGTCCAGTCTAGTCGAGTGCGCGGCACGGAGTCGGACACCGCACCTTGAGGATGTTGGTAATCATCTGGTTGAGCCCCTCGCGAAGTTCAGCACCCAGCTTCTTGAGATCCGGGTCCTGCGAATGCGGGACGGAGGTCTGCTAGGGATCAGAAAAGAGAAGACGGAGCCCATTTGGGTCTTGCTAGGGCTGCTGGGGCTTTTGGTAGGGGTTTGTAAAGAACGAACCTGCAAACAGAAAGAAGGAAGAATCGCGTCAGGTGTGCCACGCAGCGCACAGGCTTGGGCCAAGAAAGCACATACTGGCAGCTTTCGAGAAAGAATAGGGATAGAAGTAGAAGTAGGACGAGGAG